AAGGTCTTCCTCCAGCTTCCACAGTAGTTGTATGGTTATTGTGTCATTTGACCTTGTTTAGAGAAGTTGAATTTAAATGAATCCAGGCATAATGAGTGAATTTTGTGGTGGAGAAATACATCCCTGAATTTTGGATGTTGATAAAACTCTTTCTGGGAAGGACAGACCTTCTGGAAAAGGGGGGAGCTGGATCCATTCAATAGAAAGAGGGATTCAGGTAGAGAGTGGACCAGAAGAGCAGATGTCACATGCAAACTCTCCTGTCTGTCTGTCTTACAGATCCCGAAGACCCCTCAGGACCTCCCAGCGCTGCCAGTGAGTATATTGTTGTAATGAGTCTTAGCTCCATTCCCCTGCATCCACCTCTCTTCTTCCCTTTGATGAGTTGAAGGGATGAACAAGAACTATGTTGACTCCCTCTAATTGCTCCCCTTCTGCTCCCTCAGTACCGCCACCCCTGAGGTGCAGGAGCACGTGCAGCAAATGGAGGGGCTGCCTTTCACAGCCATGGGGCGGGAGGCACAAGAGGGGTCAGCCTCGCTGTACTGGCAAGGGAATATCACTCTGGCTGTGCTAGAACCATAGCCTCTATCTCCACAACCCTTGAGGCAAGACATGAGCCCTGCAGGTTGTTAGAGGCTGGTTGCACCTCCCCTCCATGACACAGGGTGATGTGGATGGAGTAATATGACTGGTCTCCCTGCTTCTCTGATCTGCCCTCAGGGACCCCTCCAAAGGGACTGCTGTGTCCCCAGCCTCTCAAGAGATCAGAACCTGTCCGAGGGTTTCCAAGCACTGTTTTTTGGGGGATCTGCTGCTCAGCCAGGCTAGTGCGTAGGATCACAGAGAAGAAAGGTTTAATACCTGAAAGCAAGTCCCTTATTTGGCTGCAGCTGAGGATTGTAGTCCCTCCTCTGTCAGGTTGCCTAGTACATGGAGATTTGCATGCCTTGGGATGTCCACAGGTTTCACGGCAAGCTGATCCTGACAGAAATCTGCATGGAAAATCCCCCTTGATCTTCTCTGTCCCTCCTTTTTTACACCTTGAAGGATAACATTGCTGCTGGTGAGCATGAAAGCTGGTATTTCTCCAGTGAGCCAATAAAAACATCATTTGGGAAAGAGAGAAAAAAAAAGCACACACAAAAAGAGTGTTCAGGGAAAGGCGGTGATTTCTGACAAGTCATTAATTGGTAGTTTCTGTGCAGTCAATATTTGGATCCTGAGTAAACCCAGCGTGCTGGTGAGGGGACACGTCTCACCAGCTAAGCAGAAACAAACATCCCACAGTGTTGGAAGGGCACAAAATCCACCGTCTCTTAGAAATTGCACTCCCTCAGTGACACTGATAGTTTCCCAGTTTCTCTGCTGAAACATGCTGGTGTGCAGCTGCTGGAGTTGCCAGTGTGCCAGCATTCACGCACACCTCTGCGGTTGTGGGCCCATCTGACAGAGAGAGGCTGTGCTGTGCTCAGTCCTGGCTGGGGACAGTGAGGTGGCTTTAGCTCCTGCTTGTGGGGTGCTCCACAACCCTCCTTTGTTTGCACAGCCACAAATCCAAGGAGGCAAATAAGAAATTTGTGCTGACAAGGTGTGTTAGTAGAGACCAGGGGTGAATGCTGACATGGCAAAAAGACCTCTCATGTTCTCCAGGTGCCCGAACACTGGGATGTGCATGTCCTGGGTGTATTTCTCCCGGTGTAACATTTACTTTTGTTATTTCATACCTTTCACTTTCCATGGAACTGTGCACATGTGAGCATCAGCAGTTCCATGTGCTGTTTGTAGCTTATGGCTAATTACAGGTATTTCAAGGTCTGGTGCCTCCTGTCCCACATCACTCGGTCTGAGGCAGGTTATAGAAAGCAAGCCAAGACTGAAGTTAGCTGCACTAGGGAGACAGGATGCCATTCCCTTCATTTTCTCCTTATTCATATCTTATTCTGTCATGAATTTGACTTCTGTAAATTTGCTATGGACTCATATAAAGGTTGAATTAGGTGATCTTAGAGATCTTTTCCAACCTAAATAATTGTATGATTCTATGATATTATGCTACATGATAAGGGAATGAAGTTTAAGACAGAAGAGCCCTTGTTCCATGTAGACAGGCAGGTTGGGGTGAAGAGTGAGCCCACTTGTCAAATCTTGGAGTAGACAGTGGGGTAGGGCAGGTAGGACTGGCTGCAGAAGTTACCTCCTTATGAAGAAATAAAACAGTCCATTTTCAAAGTGTAGACTGATCTCTGATTTCTGTAGTCAATGGTCCTGCATCTCTAACCTGCTGCATTCTCTCTTGGTAGGCATCAAGATTAAAAAGGAAGTTGCCAATGCCTTTGTGAAGAGGCAGAAGAGATCTGACTTTTACGAACGGTAATGATGCATGAGTCAGGCTGAGAGCTGGACTCTGGACCTGTTCTGAAGAGGGGGTGGGAAGGTGGGGGGCCATGGCAAAGTATTCATCATTTGCCACACATCTACACATCATGTATAGAAACAAAAAAGTATTAAGAGACCGACAGTGATAGATAAATGGCTTTTTTTTTTTTTTTTTTTTTTTTTTTTCCCCTTTCTCATAAATATCCTTTTGGGAGCTTATAGCTAGACTTTGTTATTCCTTCCCATGGAGGACAGTACTAGCTTTCTGGGCTAGCCATGGGGACAACAGGGTACAAGTTAGAAGCTGCTTAAACCTACAGGGACATTAGATCCAAATTCCAGGATAATGAGCATCACAGAGTCCTGGTCACTACCTCTACCTCCATACAAAAGAAGCACAGCTCTGTTGTAGTGATTAAGCTAAATCTGAAGCTGCAGGTCCTATATCCATTTGTGCAGAAATTCTAGGCACAAAGATTTGGAGAAATCCTGGATATAAACACTTGGAGAAATTTGAGCTCATCCAAGAATATTCTTCACATGTTTCCTAGAAGTTGTTAAGCTGCTGTCTCATGTAGGCCCGTGTCAAAAAGAATTATTATTTGATCTGTCTTGGACTGGAAAGATGATGTAGTTTTTAGATGATAGAAAAGTGGGAGGTCCCATCTGTAGAGAAGAGGATCAGTGTATGGTAGCAGGGGAACTGAATGATGTTGAAACCTGGAATGATTAAAAAAAAAAAAGAAATTCAGAAGTAGCAACTCTGCTGACTACACTGACCGCCCCCTTACAGGTGGGTCATCATAAAAGTAGCTTCTGCTACAAGAAACTACTGTGTAGCTGAGACTAAAAAATTTGGGCTTGCTCAGTATGGCAGGACAAGAACTGTGAGGGGAAAGGGTTGCTGTCTACAATAGAAGTGAGGATGATGAGGGAAAACTGCTTATACTAAGGGAAAAGAGTATCTAGTGGGAAAATGAGCAGAAACTGGGCACAAATAAAGGTAAAAAAGAAATAATAAAACAAATTAATTATAAAATAAATAATAACTTTTTTTTTTTTTTTTTTTTTTTTAATAATAATAATAAAAAAATAAATTGCCAGATAGCTGAGGAATGAGGTTGGGGCCAAAAAACAACCAAACAAAAAAATACTAATTGCTTCTATGGTCTCATTTCCTGATAAAACTTCAAGAGCTGTTGCTTTAAGATGGGTTCAATTCCAACTTCCCTCAGCATTTCTCAAGGAGGTCTATCCCCATGTAAGTAGGTATCTAACTCACAATGAGAAGTACCCTGGGGAATCACTCTTCTCCTGCTGGTATGGGGCTATGAAACCTCTCCAACTCCATTGACTGAATATGCAGAACAGCATCTTTCTCTCTGTCCACTCCAGGTACTTTATGCATTACAAAACCCCAATGGAGCAGATGCATGAGCGTTGTGAAAGCTACCCTCCTTGTGATTATCTGTCTGACCAAATAGGATTTTTCATGGCCTACAACCATTTCTTTGGGAGATACTAAGGATGGGATGATCACTTTGTTCATCTGGCTTAGGACCACTCTGAACCTCTCAGCAGGAAGAAGGTTGTGGGTGGGAAGGAGGGAAGATAGACTGGGACCTTCTTCAATTGTCTTCCTAGCCAGCTGAAAAAAACAAGGCAATAGTTATCCCACTTCTCTAGGTTGCATTATCTTTATTGCTTTCATGAAAAATGTTTCTATTCAATTGACTTTCATGGTATTTTCACTGTTGAGAAGACTGTCTTACCTGTTTCCCTTGTAAATGCTCTTACATAGCCAGAAATCGTGTCTCAGTACACTGCTCTGATTATTCTGTCACAAAATCTGCCTGTATTGCATCAATGTTTAAATCTGAAAAAGTGTGTTTGAGGAGTCCTTTTGGATGAGCCTTTCCATTTGTATGCTACAATCAATGACCATGAAAAGTGAATTGGAAATCTCTTCTTGTTTTTGCTACAACTGATTTCCAGTGAAACTGGATATACCCAAGCAGAAACAACAAATCTGTTCCTCTGATGCTTTAGCATTGATGCTTGAATCTAAATGTGTTAAAAGAGCTCTCAAAAGAAACAAATAAACAACAAAAAATAAACTTTATGAAATAAAAATAAAGCATTTCAATAGTGGATTGAAGTTGGGCCAACATTTTGTTTATACAAGGCAGTTTGTATCTCTCTCTCTCTGATGTATATACATATATAACATATACATGTGCATATATATATAGTCTTCCATCTGCACTACTTGTTCTGTCTCCCAGTATGAATATTGCATGTCAGCAACTTTCTGCACAGCTTCTCTTGACGTGGTCTGTCATCTTGCATTCCCTGAGAGGTAGATGGCAGATCCCATCTGCAACAATAGGGACTGCTGAACCACAGGAGACTGAGGAAGACCAAATCTCTCTGTTTCCATGTAATCTGGTGCAGCCGTTCCCAGCTACTGACTGCAATAAATACTGCTTACATAAAGCAGGTTGGTGTGCTGCTTCTCTCTGTTCCTCTGTATGACCTATATCTGCAGTTAAAGAGATGTCCAGAAGATAAAGACTGCTCTTGTTGACCCTGAAGAGCAGGATCCAGATACATGAGGCTTCCTTCTCCCCTCCTGTGCTCCAAAGTGAATCAGCAGTGACTACACTGAAGTTCAGATCACGATTCCGGTACACTGACAGTAAGGGAGAGGAGAACCAAGCTTTTCCTGATTCACCATCTACTGAGTTCAGCATTTCTCTAGATGACCTTGCCCCAGTGCTGATGTGTGTGTGACAGCCTTCATTTGGCAAGCCGTCATGACTTGCATTGGCTATACTGACCTTGGCCAAGGAGAAAACATTAATAATTACCCCTGCTTGTCTCGGTCAAGTACCTGAGGCTGATTCCTCTTTTAGCATAAACTGATGGAGCTTCACTGCTCACAACAAGACTCAACTCTGAATGACATCTATTAAAAATGAACAAAGTGCTCATTGAAAGCAGTGTTAGACACTGGAACAGGCTGCCCAGGGAAGTGGTGGAGTCACCATCCCTGGAAGTCTTTAAAAGACGTTTAGATGTAGAGCTTAGGGATATGGTTTAGTGGGGACTGTTAGCGTTAGGTCAGAGGTTGGACTCGATGATCTTGAGGTCTCTTTCAACCTAGAAATTCTGTAATTCTGTGAAAATTTTCATCAGGAAGATTAGTAGAGATTAATGAGCTCTTAATATCTGCTGTACTAATGTTAGGGCTCGTTGTTTTTGTATAGTTTTGTTTGTTAAAATTATCCTGTGTGTATTTGCATCTTTCTGTTTTATATTTGTATCTTCCTGTTGATATTTATCTATCTATCTATTTATTTATTTATTCTGGGAAGGCGAACATTAAGGCCTTGGTCCTGTAATCTGTTCTGTGTCACCAGATCTTTATATAGGCTGAAGTCAGAATGGCCTTTGGAGAGCTGAGTGTACAATTCAGATTACAAATATAATGCTGGATTGAAGGAACTCGATTTTCACCTGCTCAAGGTACATTTAAATGCCATTACACATCCTCTGCTGCCATCTTATGGCCATTGTATTTATGGTCATGAGACAGTACCCTACGTTACTTTTGAAGGATTTTAAAATGCAAAGCCAGTGAGTGGGTTTCCTTCCTCATTCACTTCATAATGCATCATATGCTAAAAGGACAGGAAAAAAAAAAAGTCAAGAGACATGATCTGCAACTGAATTATATCCATTTGGACTGATAGCAACTCTCACATTCTAGAGTGGCTGTTTTTCCTGACTGAATTTACCACTGGAGCCTTTCACAGTTGTTAGCTATTTTTTATCTCTACATAAACAAGAGAGGAGGTTCCTCTGAATAAATTCACAACCCTTTCTCTGCACTCACTTTGCCAGTTGAAGAACTGCTTTCTGAAGTACAGCCCAAAGTGATGGGGCAATTCCAAGGAGAAGTGGATAGGCTGAGTTTCTCTCTTTGTATCATCCTTCATGTTCAACTTTTGCATCATCTTTCATGTCATTGTATGTCACCAGTGGCTGCAGATACTGTCACTCACTCAGAATCAGAATCAGTTAGTGCAGTGTTATAGATCATGTTTAGGCAACCCAGTATGAGACCTTTCTGTCATCCCTCATGCTATTTCAGCAAATGCTCTCTGTCCACAGAAAACAAGCAGCTGCACAGGTGCTGCCTTTCCCATGGAATCACACTATGACTGCAGGTGCCCCTCTTCAAAATCTCTCTGACCAACCTATCACTAGCAGGTAATGAAAAGCAAGCTTCAATGCTCTGTGTCACAGAATGAGGCCCTGATGACTCCTTTTTGCTGTTTTTCTGTGCAGAAATATTGTCAGAGGCCATGGGTCTTTGCATGTGAGTAGCTCGTTGCCCTTTGATTGGAAGAATAACTGGAAAGTGGCCAGTAGAGAGGGATTAGTCTTGGTGTAGAATATGGATTTATGCCCTTATTCTGAGTATATCCATTTAAACAGTTCAACAAGGGGCCACTCTGTAGTGATACGAATGGAGGATTGGTAGCACACTATTAGGAACTGGGAGGAACTAAGGAGGAGTGTGACAGTTATGTTATCTCTGCTTCCAGATGGGATCCCAACCTACCATGTATTTCTGTGTTGGCTTTATCAGAGCTCAGCACTTCATTAAGGGGACTTTTTAAGCTCTTAGGAAGGGAGTACTCTCCACCTCATCTTCACATACAGTCCTCAGGAAAGAACTCCCTTAGACTTATCCAAGTCAGAGTTTTCTTCCTCTTTGCAAGAACAAGAGTGCAAGATACCTTAGAATTAAAAGCAATATCAAGGCAAAGGACATCTACACCAACTAAAGTTGGAGTGAAGAAACAACTCATAAGGTCTCAATGCTTCTAGGCCCTTTCCTATGGATTATGGCTCCACTTTTACCTGTGTAGATTGATTAATGACCTCTGAATTGCTTTAAGAATCTACCAAACAATCTTTGGTTGAAGAATTGTCACAAAAATGTGAGTGCAAATTAGAAACTTCAGAATTCAAGAAAAAAGGAAAAGAAACAGATGCAGGTGTTCTCTGCTTCAGCTCAACGTTCTTTATAATGTCTTGGGTGGACTCTAGGATGTCAGTACATCTGCTGGCCAGCCTTCTGTTGCTGATCTCCTTGCAAAGACTGGTAAGAGGGGTAAACATTGTACTTTGTTTGAAATGGTGAAATCACTTATCCCACTGAAATAAAAACTTTTTTTTTTTTAAATAAATGTTAAGTATGATTTTTTTAAGGAGCATTGGATTGGGTCTCATAGAACTGTTCCTCTCCTTTTCCAGCCTGTTTCATCTGAGACTCTGACAACAGCAGTGTGTTGTTGGATAGGCAGTGACCATATTGCTCTATTCCTTGAAAGTGTCTTTTAGCTCCCCCTCAAAGAAATTACAGTACCGTGAAGAAATAAAATGAATTCCTCTATAGTTTATGGGCCATTCTAACTTCAGAGAAAGCTGCCAATTTAGTTATGTGTCTAGGATGAATACTTGAGATGAAGTGAGTATCTACTTGCAGAGTTCAGCTATCAACTGGCTATAGTACTTGACTAGCCCACTAAGAGATCAAAAAGGGAAAAGAGCTGTCATCAAACATACCATTTCTTAGGTGTTATTGCACAGGGTTTTTATTAATTAAAAATATTACAAAAATAAAATTAGTGTGGTGTTTCACAGATTATATTATAAATTATTTTCCTCTTATAACATCCTTCTATTTAAATCCTTACTTTTTTTTTTTTTTAATGTTTATTTACATGACAAGTCCAGCTGGCCTTGTTGAAAGAAACTGGATAAGTAAAAGTCCTGGCACAGTACTACTGTATTGTCTTTGTTGAACATTATGCTCTGGAGCCAGAACATGTCCGAGAGGTATTATAAGACAGAAAGAAGAAATTCACCCCTGAGATGTGTGTAGGCTTCACCACCCCAGAATACTGTCTTGTTCATTCTTTCTCTCTTCAAAACCACTTAATATTCATAAACAGAATATTAAATACATGGATTATGGGTCAGTCTTATTGTCCCTATCCCCTTGCTCTCTGAAGTTTTTAATGTATCTTCTGAAGTTTTTAATGACTGCCATAAAATAAGAACTCTAGCATTCTGGTTGGCATTTGCCTGAGGTGGGGTTTTGACCTGCTGTTGCTCAGCAAGGGCTTGTTGAAGATGCCTGCCTGGTGTGTTTTTTTGTGCCAGTATTGAAAAAAAGTAAAAGAGGTGGTAGGGAAAAACCTGTCTTGCATCTACAGATATACATAAAAAAATCATAATTCTGATGCTAGCCTTCATTTGTTTTTTTGTTTTTTTTTGATTTGCAGTCTGTGTCCCAACTTATGATGGATATGGCTCTACATTCCTTTGACGATCAGTACCTGGGGTGCAGAGAGCAGGTGATGGAAGAACTGGAGAGAGGAGACTATTTCCATAAGGAAATAGCTGCTAATAAAAACTATTTCAGTCTTTGGAAGAAGGCTCAGGAGGCTTTGTTAAAGAGCCCTGTAGGTCTCTTAAGGGAAATGCAGGAGAGTCACGCCATAGTCCTCATGGCTTACACCATGAATTCTTCCCTGCACTCTCAGCTGAACTGGGCCACATCCACAGCAGGAAGCTCTCCAGAGCAGTACAGACACAACTTCAGTTTCAAATATTTTCACTTTTACCTAACGACTGCTATCCAGATAGTGAAGCAATGGCAGAGCAGCAAGGAGAACATGAGGAAACATAAGTGCTACCGAGTGCATAGGGGTGTAAAAGACTTACATATTGAAGCCATGGTAGGCAGAAGAGTGCGATTTGGCCGTTTCACCTCTACATCTCGCCTCTGGAATGAAGCCCAGAAGTTTGGAAATGAAACTTTGTTCACAGTGACAACTTGCCTGGGAGCAGCTCTGCAAGGCTTTTCTTACTACACATCTGAGAAGGAAGTCCTCATTCCCCCTTATGAGGTGTTCATTGTCAAAAACTTCTTCCGGACAGAGTATGGCAACCGGCTGCACCTGCATTCTGTGGGGAATTTCAGCAAGTACCACTGCCAGCTCTTGGAAGGTACTGCATATCGTCCCTTTGGGCAGGTGGGATGCAGAACAGTCTGTTCTCAAGTACCCCAATCAGCCCTCATCAGCTGTACCTATACAGGGCCACACACAAGGTCCAATCTGTAGCCTACCTCCTGTGTTTGCTTGTGAGAGCCTCATGACCCAGTTTTCCCCCATTTGTCATGAAACCTGTGAGGCCCTACAGCTCACTGATGATTAATCCACCCGCTACCTAACAGATCTCAGGGTTCTTTTCGGCGTCCACTTATCCCATCTACCATTGCAAGGATGTTGCAGGATACATGTGCTGGGACCCCAGCATCCCTATTGCAATGGCAGATGAGATTTGCGGGCAGCCTGAATTCAGGTATTATTCTGGTGGCTTGCAAGGCAGCTACACTGCAGGGCTCAGGATTACACTGGACTTTGATCCACCACTATTCCAGCAAGCTCAGGTAAATATAAACAAAACTACTGCTGCTTTAGTCCTGTTCTCTATCCTGTGGCAGAAGAGAGGAGAGGTGCTGATTGGAAAAGCACATTCTGTCAGTTTCTTGGCTACAGAGATAACTATTCTGTGCTGGAAGACCACATTAGGTCTGTTCCACAGCTCTGTTCTTCTAAGAGTCCTCCACCAATATGGGACACCTGCTTTTGTCTGTTTGGAAAACAGTGTGTCAGTTCAACCTCTGTGTACAAAACAATCATTCAGGAATGAGAATTTTTGCCCTAAGCCAGAATAGTAGGTAGACTGGAGAAGGTGTCTCTTTGGGGCAAATGCTGTGTTAGCAAGGGCAGGAAGCTCTGATCAGATAAAGGAGCCTAAATGACTGCTCTCTTCACTTTTTTTCAGCTTCAAGAATCAAGAACAGTGGTTCTACTGCCTCTGCCTCTGCTGTTCTTCCTGGTGTAGTTGGAGTTTTCTTGTGCTTGGCTAAGCAATGACTGATTCTCCAGCTACATCCAGATGTATACATTTGATTATCAAGACAGAAAAATAGACAGGAAATCAGTCACTGGAGTTACAGTTGTTTGAGAAGGTTCATCACTTCCTTTGCTTTCAGCTGCAGCTCTCCAGATGAAACTGGGTCATTCAGCCTAGCTCATCAAAGCAGACACTCCCTGGACTCATTCAGACAGAAGGGCATTTATCTATGGCCTTAATGAAGAGCAGGGCGGTGACACCATTCACTGTAGATAGTTTGTCCCTTAGGCATTCAGGAAAGACACACACGACTTTAACAACATCTTTACAGATCTCTTAGTAACTTTGTTTTTAGTGAGAGAGCATCTGGTTGTGTGATGGACAAGGCACCGTGGTGGTAGACTGTGGTGGGTAAGTGTGCTTCCTTACATATCTCCTATAAGTGCTGTGTCCCGGGAGACAGCCAAGGCTATGGCAGCAGCACAGCAGCCTTTCCCCAGTACATGATCCCACACACCAAAGCCATATAATAGCTCTCATCTCAAACTGACTGTCTACAACTCACACGTAGAGGACAGAAGCATAAATCTTCCTTGAGACGTGAACTTAGCAGCAGAAGGTCACAGGAGGTGTCAGGCCTGTCTTCAGGTTCTATGTTTGCCTTTAGCATTTCTTTTGAAAAAGTCAGGCAGGTGATGTGTTCATAACAGTCCTCTAGTGGCTGATGAATATCCGTTGGTTATTTTACATTGAAATGAAGGAGAGCCTGTGGAACCCACTGCTCTCTTCATGGTTGTAGGATGTGACTGAAATGTATTTACCTGTCTTTTTGCTTCAATGCTCTGCAATGACTAATGTTGGAGGTTGAACTTCTATGTGTTTACTTACCAGTTTTGGGGCCTTAGATGCCCAAACTGGAACAGCTATGAAGTTCTTCCATCCCCAAAACATAACAATGTGGAAAAGATAAAGAACATTTTCTGCCTGCAAAATCCCCCTTCCAATATGCCTATCCTACTTCTTCACCCCTGGTTCCTCACCCCTTGGGCCTGGGCTGAGGCTACAGTCAGGAGACCAGCTGTGGTGATTTAACTTTGCAGTGGAGTCACCAGATAATTGAACTGAAACTCACTGATATGTTTCATAAATGACCCCTGAGTGGTAACACCTCTCAGTCACCCGTGAACTTGGCAGGAAGCTGTGTTCACCATCACCTCTCCAAAGTGGTAAGCAACAAGTTAGCGATCCAAATGAGACCTGAATATAAGAGGACTGCACAAGTCGCTGACCAGCTTATTAGTTAAAGGTAAGGATATTCAAAAGCACCTGGGTGAACTGCTCTACTCTCTGAGCAGCTCCATGAAAGCTTGGAGGTGCCATTCCCTTGGAAATCCTGTGGCAAGGAGTGCAGAACTTCAGGCACCTGAGCATTAGAAATGTAGATACCTAAGGAATGTGGGGGTCTTTTTTTGTTTGGTTGGTTGGTTGTTTTGGGTAGACTAAAAGGAGTAGCTTGAGTATCAGCATTGCAGGTACCAGATTTAGGCACATGCAATGGCAGAGACCATCATCGTCTAATATGTAGTAGCATGTTCTGTCCAACTGAACTACTGCTCCTGAAATCCTGAGGCGTATTTGTCCGCACAGTTAGAACAGATTTAATAACTATTTTACTATAAGCTTATTTTGTATCTCTATTTCACACCACATTTTTGTTGTTTTTGCTTTACCAGTGACTTCAAATAATTTACCAACAGACCTTTATTTTGATGCCTAGATGCTCGGAGATACGGAGTACAGATTTCAAAAAGAACTACAGAGAGAACCAGAAGCAGCTGCTGCAGATATGTGCTGTACGGACATGCTCAAACTTTCCTCAAACTTGCCATCGAGGGTTAAAGGAATCAAGATGAACTTCTAACACATCAGTACATGTGTTTTACTATTTCTGGGATGCAGGAATCCAGCCTTCTAGCCAAGCTATGGAATGCTTCACAAGGTGGCCTCAGCACTCTGCAAGCCTCCTCTAAGTAGTAAGCTGCTGTTTTCAGGCTTTTCTTTATGGTTCTCTGTCCTCGAAGGAGGGTCCGTATGAAAATTAAAGAGGAGGAGGGTAGAGAACAAAGTCTGAGCTGTTGTGATGTTTCACCTGAGGCGGATCCGCTTGCTGTGGTGGTTGGTGGCTCATTTTGTTGCAGCATCTTAGCAATATCAGCATAGCCCAAGAGAAGTTCTGATACATGGAGGGATAAAGCAGGTGAACTCAGTAACTGATGAACAGCAGCCTCTACTGTGTCAGGGAAATTATCTGTTTGTAAACTCATTCCAACATATATATACACCATGCTTCTTACAGCAAACCTATAATTTTTATAATGACCTTGTTTTGGTGCCACGTTGTCCTGCAAGGTGTCCATGGACTGAGTCATTCTAGAATAAAATGATGGGTCTATGCATCCATCATTATCATATCCCATTGTGGCTGTCATCTCTTTCAAAGCATTGATCAGGAGCTGCAGATTCTCTTTAATGCTAAAGTTTTCTTTTACTACCAAGATGGGGAATTCAGTGCCAAGATAATGATTGAGGATTTTGAATATTGTATTGGTTGAAGAGACATAGATGTATACTAAGTCATACAGATTCTCGCAGGCTGTAAAGATCCTTTCTTTATCATTCTGAAGACCGAGGCAGGCTAACATTTCCGGAGTGAGGGTTTGGCTCTGAAAAGGAAACAGAAGAAATCCAGGAGACAGGAAAGGGTGGATGGGTGGGGGAGTCAAAATATTTTCATCTAGAATGTTGCATTTCTGAAACTAGTATTACAAATTATCAAACTACCTGACCCTCCCTCCAGGCGTTCAGAGTTAGAAAAAGCTCTTTGTTAGCCTCTGAAGGGGTCTTACCAAGCAGGCCAGCAAAATATGGTGTAAACAGCTGCTAGTGTGGTTATTCTTGTGGATGCAGGAATTACAGATGTGACCTTCAGCATGTCATCTGAAAAGCAACAGAAGTAGTGTAAATGAATTATTCTCTCCTTTTTGATGTTTATTGGTAAATGTATGGAAGTCCTATCAAACAATCTACTTTACATCGTCCTTAGAAATATAACCCTTTGGTTTGTATGTACTGGTGTGTCTGCACAGAATTAAATGTATGCTGGGGAGGGGGAATGGACACAGCAGAGTCAAATGCATGAGTCATCTACATGCAACAGGCAAAGCAATTGAAGGCTGAGCAATGCAGTGTTTTCTCTCAGGCTAGTGCTTCCTGTGAAGTGACCCATGTCTGTCAGTTCACAAAGTGGCTAGACATTGCAAGAATTCCTTGAGAGGTGAAAGTGAAAAACATTCTCCTTGCCTTGGCTCTCTCTGCAGCTCTGAAGACAAGTGGGGTTTGGTCCTTTATTTCTGGGTTGACTACAATAGCTCATTTTTTCATGGGAAAAGAAGCTGGCAATTGCAGATTACTCATTTTATGCTTTATCTTGCACTTTCATCCTAGAACCACTCTCTCCTGAGGAGACAGCACTGGCAACCAGACGCCTGTGGGCAGGAGGCCCATCTTTTGAAGGATCAGAGCTTGGAAGAAGTCTAACCTGGATGAATGCAGAACTACAAGATTTTGTTTTGCTGGCACACATAAAGCCTGTACTGATTTCACTGTCAGTGCTAATTTTTGTATTTATGTGGGACTGTTCAACTTTTCTTCCATAATTCACAGGTGTACAAAACCAGTCATGACAACAATTCATTATTTCAAAAGCAGAAATAAAAATGTATAAATCCCTATATGAAACCAAATCTGGTACCCATACGAATGAAAAGTGCTTCCCAACATGTTTTATATCCTGAGAACAGCAAGTAATACCTTCCCCTTTCAGCCCTGGCTGCAGGTACCTGTGAAGGTACCTCTGTCATAGGCAGAGGTACATTCATGCTGTACTTGTTCTCTTCAGGAACAGGTGGCCTTAGGAGGAAATAAGAATTTTGAAGTAGCATCAAATAAACTGAGTTAAAATTGGAAGGAAGGGGAAACAAGGAAGAAAATGAGAAAAATCGGGGTAAACGTCACAGAATAAAATTGATGACAAGCAGGCAGGCAACAGGACCCAGCTGAAGCCCAGCTCTGGATTCCTAACTCATCAGATGCTGCTGGAAACCACCAGAGGAACACAGGGGAAAGAGGATGAGATCACTGTCCTGTACGCATTCATCCGATTGCAGGAGCACTCAGGCAAAAACAGGTAGGCAGTCTAAATGTTTAACTAGAAAATCCTCTGGGAAAAATCCCTGGGGAGCTCGAGAAATAAGCAGAAATACAGAAATATATGTGGTGTCTGCCTAACTGTAGAAAACAAATGTAAAAATTGGAAAAAGTGTTAATGTGAAGAGTAAGAGGCTGTTTTAGTTTTAAAGGACATAAAATCAACAGCAGTCATAGGAAGCTGAAAGAATGATTCAGACAGAATAGATGTTCCAAGTCTCTTCCACAGCTTTCTAGTATGTAGAATGTTCATTGACGTGCTGTTCCTTTTGGAATATTTTTTCTTCTCAATTTCTGCAAATGAGCATAAACAAATGGCCTTTCAACACAACATCACTGGAGTGGAAAGGATTAATGTAACACTGAGTCAGAGAGCAAGCCACCAACATCCCAGAGGCAGAGCTGATATGAAATTATACTGGCAGGGTTTTATGTCTCCTGAAAATCACAAACTTTTACTGCATACAAACTTTGCTTGCTCCAGCTTGAAGAAAGATGAGTTAAAGAGTTTATTCTCTTAACAGAGATGCAAGGTAAGCGGCTGAAAGAAAAGTACACTGCTGTGCAAAACACTGTGGAAAAAATATCCCTTCAGACTGGTTTGTATTTCAAAGCTGAGACTAAAAGCTGTCTAGAGGACTGCTGAAATCATTCTGTTTCTACAGTGATCTTGTTGGGGAGGGTGTGTTTGGTGAAATACAGCTGGGTCAGTGCCAGTTGATTTGCAGTTAGCAGATAATGCAAGAACTCCAGAGGACCAAAATGACACAAATGAATCTTTTAAGAAGAAAAATCTAGCTAGTCTCCTACACACAACTATTTGTACCTATAGCTGTGGTGTGTAGGCACCAAGAGCAAGAAAGGACTTATCTTGGAAAAACAGAAAGTAACGCATGAAGTTGGCCCAGATTTGCAATAAAAGGGTTGAGAAAATGAAAGTACCAACAAGAAACCAGTCATCCTACTCCTCCGTAATCTGCCCCTGTTGCAATGTAAGATGCACACATCTAAGTCAAAATCATGCTAAAGCATTTTTACTTTGCAGCTGGTGATGGGTTAAGAGAAAGTGGCACGGGGTTGATTATAGAAGCTTAGAGATGAGAAGTAACTCCACAACCACTGATAATTCAGTCACTTTGGATGCCGTATCTTGTCAGGCAGGTAATGCTTGACATTCACCAGTGAAAAAACAACGGGGATTCAATGACAGCATTAGAAAGGGATGTGATTAGGAATATTGAAAAAAGAATCAGTGAGGGAAAAGGGACTAAATATCAGGGAAGAAAACAGAGTTGGAGCTGTGTGTAAGGTGAAATAGGTTAGGATGCGTTTGGGATAGATAATTTTGCTTTTCTCTTTGAATTCCCAAATGTGAGTTGATTAGCATGCACACAAATGTCTTATATGGTAACATTTCCTCTTAAATGCAAGGAGTGGCTTTAAACACCCTTACACTGGTACAGACTGTGCACGCTCCACCAATCATCACAGTCATTTAAAAATTAGATGCCACTGACTGAAAAAAATGGGCTGATACAAAAGTGTCTCGGTAACAGGCCTCTCATTTCCACAGCTTATTTTAGACTTTGCTGACTAGATGAGCTTGTTCTGTTTTTTAGCGAACTAGTTCTGCTTCTACCATCCACAGTTTCCTAGGTGAAGAAAGACCCATGCTCATTGTAACAATATGCTAATTACATGTTTGTTATCTGTTTTTGTTGCTCTCATGTCTCATAAGGTCCTTTTGCAATCATTTGGCTAATGATATGAATCAATGTTTAAGATTTCTAGATTTACAAGCTGTTTTGGGATTTGATTTGCTGAGTATAAAAAGAATCAGTGGGGCAGGGACAAAACAGCTTACATTTCACTGCTTTTTAAGGGCTGGGACTATGGGTGTAAACAGTGAGAACTTTCTTTGATCTCTTGAAGTAGTTGACTTCTGAGGAATGGCGCTGAGCGACCTCCTTTATCCAGATAACCCCAAGAGACGACAAGAATTGATCCATCTGCACCAGGAATTGCTTGACTGCATGTCCATGAATTTCCACGCAACAAATGAGCTGGCTGGAGTTCTGAATACACACCTGGGATGTACTATTAGCCACATCAAGATGAGAGAGAGCAGCACTGTCAAGGAAAACTGTGACATTATCATTCAAGCGATGAGTGAGATTCAGCGTCAGGTACAGAAGATTGATAGTGACATGAAGGAGAAGCTAGAGCCTGTGCTATACCAGAAGCTGTATGACATCAAAGAGCCTGAACTGGAGAAAATTGCAATAGCCCATAGAGTTTTTTCCATCATTCTCGGAGAAGCAACTTCTACAGCTGGGATGGTAGCTATCAAGCTAATTGGCTCCAACCTTATAACTCTCACTGTTAGCAAACTCGTCAGCCTCCTTGCCCAGATCGGGGCATCCGTTCTTGGGGGAATCAGCATCACCATTCTTGGGCTCGGCATTGAAATGATCCTCCATGCCATCCTGGGAGCTGTGGAGAGGAATCAGCTTCTGGCTGCCGTGAGAAGCTATGAGGAGCATCTGGCTGAGTTTAAAGAAGCCTCAGAAAAATACCAGCGTGCCATACATGAAGTGACTTCTTCAGTCAGACAGCAGGTTCAGTGAAAGAAGTCAGTGTTCTCTTTCCTGCTGTGACAATGACTGCAGCAGCTACTTCTGCAGATTTGTTGTTGTTGTTGTTGTTTGTTTGTTTCATTACAGTAGGTCATCTTTGGATTTTTTTTTTTTTTTTTTTTTTTTTCTTATTAGTGGCAGCAGAGCAAAAGATGTGTCAGATCAGAGAACTGGCACAGAAATATGTTAATAGTGAACTAGCTTAAAGGTGCTCCTGGGAGGCAACAGTTTAAATACTTGGCACCTTTTCAGCTGTTTTCCAGAATGCATTGTAGATAACCTTGAAACGTTATTAGTAGCGGTGACAATAATATTCACCGCTGGAACAGTAGCGGTGAGAAGGTGTGATTTTTCTCTTACTGAGTTGCTTTGTCAAAACGACATCATGATGGGAGACAATTATTTCAACAAAGCATTCCATATCCTCATCTAGATGGTTCATCAGAACAGGTGCAGTTGCTAAACTCTCTTAATGTGGATTTGTTCTAAATCTGATAGGCTCAATTCCCTGTTCACAGAAGCGATGACAAGGACTAGCTGAAGCACATTTCCTGTCCCATTCCTGCCTCAGGAGCCAGCCAGAGATCTTTAAATAAAATCTAATGCCAGCAGATTAACAGACAAGAAAATCATGGGCCTACAGCCAAACACACACAACCTGGCCCCACAGTTGAGGGAAAGCAGCTGTAGAGCAGCAGGCGTGTCTGACTGTGAGTAACCTCTCATGCTCGGTATTGCCCTGCTCCTGCTCACCCACAGGTGAACGTTTCTGTGCACAGCTGCTGCTCTGTTTATTGACATGGCACCATGCACTTAAACAAGGGTTTGTAGGATTACAGCCCTATTAATGTGCTGAATTTGTTTTCAAGTCCTTTACAAGCCACCAATGCGGGACTGCCAAGAACATGCACAGATTCTTCTTTTTGCAGTGTGCCATCAAATGTCCTTATTTTGCAGATTTTAAAAAGAAAGCTAGAAGAACATGATTTGCTGTCAAGCTCTGATTTGCGTAGAATGCCTGTTTTTGTTTTGATCTTTGAAGAAAAAAATAATAAAAATATCTATTTTAAGAGCTCTCTTTCGTATACTATTTTTTTGTGGTTGTTGTCCCAAAGATCAATCTCAAACCAAATCGTGAAAAAGATTAAAATCTTCATTATACATGCAGTTTATCAATTCTTGTTTGTCTCCGTGATCGATTAATCTAGTAAAATAACAGTCAGTAGAATGTATAGATCCATTTTTAGTACCAGCTCCCCCCACACTAGAAGCATGTTCAAATTCACACGTACTTGTTAGTATTCAATATTATACGTTTATTTTAATAGCTAGACCGTGCCTGTGAAAATAAAGAGACGTGTGAGATTACATCAAAGAAGCTCTCCATTCCATTGTCTTCTTAACTATTCCCCCCTCCCCCCCCCCCCCCCCCGCCAGCCTCCTACGATTCCCATTCTAAATCATTATCTTCTGGCCCCTTTTTCTGTTGTGTTCATCTGCGAGGAAGCCACTAGATGGCAATGGGAATGCAGCTGCTGGCTCTCGAGCAGCTCTCACAGCCGCTAGGGACAAAGCCCAGGGCTCGGGAGCTTAGGGGGCTGAGAGGCCACGGCTGGAATGAAAACCAGGGACCAGCACAAGCTGCAGACTGGGCGATGTGGCTCAGGAGAGGCAATTCAGAGGAGACAAAAAGCATTTTCTGACCTAGACACAATGTTTGTGGTGACATGGTGACCTGAAACAGCTAGCTTCTATAAGACGTGACTTCTCCTTGCTCCTGACCCACATGGCACTCAGTTTAGGGGTATTTGTTTAGAAGCGAGCGATCAGCAGAAGCAGCAATACTTTGAGTGTTGGAGAGGCAGGAGTTCCTGGTTCCTGCTCACTTTCTGTGTGCAAATGTACATTCTAATTTAGGAAGAAAAAGCACAAGCTCAGTACGTGCCTGTGAGATTGCTAATCGCTGCCGTAGGAGAATAGTGGAGCCAAATAAAAACCAATCTATTGCAGTTTTCAGGCATTTTGAAAATAAATGCTAAGCAGTTTTGGGAAAGAAGGACATGGAATGAAGATCATAAATCCACGCAATTTGTATTTACCTTTTGATAGATCTTTGTTTCTGGTGGTCTTAAAAGAAAGACATCTTCCCTGAAAAAGCAGGTGTTAAGGTGTTATGTCCATGAGATGTTGGAAGATGTTGGTGGTGCTGGAGGCTGATGGTCTGCAGCCTTTTCTGCTTATGAGGTAGGCCGGAATCCTGAGCGAGGTGGGGCAGGCACCCATGACCTCACAGAAGGGTGTGTATGGCACCTTCCAGCCCCATGAGGCAGTTTTGAGATGAAAAACAAAACAAAACAAAACACTGATCTCCTTAAGAGCTTCCCAAACTCTTTCCCCCAACTCCAGCAATAAGAAAATCATGGGATTTGCTTGTGTTGCTGACAGTTCTGTTTTTCTTTTTACTTTGTTCTTGAACTCAGCGCAGCATGCATCCAACTGGCTAAATGAGAGAGGCCAGCAGGGCAGAATGAGTTCACCTCTCTGCTTCTGCTAGCTTACTGAAACACTGTCCCTCCAAACAGGATATACTTGCCTGCTTTTCCTAGTCCTCTGATCAGTCTTACACTTGATCTTCCATGGGTATCATAACCAGTCTGAGGCCAGGCTGCTGGCTCTTCTCCTCTAGACTCCTGGTGCTACTTCTCTGAGTGACAGAAGTATAAGGCAAGTGAGAACTATGGGGCAATATCACACTCCACATCAGCTCTGAGTCAGCAGTCACTCCTGGGAGAATGCAGCTACAGCTGCTCCAGACTCCCACAAACTTAGCAAATAGCTTCATTTCAAGTTTGTTAGCAGAAGCTTCAGCTCCTGTAGGAAAGCAGAGCTATCTAAATCTGTGCTTGCTTTTTTATTTTTATTTTCAATGTAGTAATTTCAATGTCATCAGTTTTCTTTAGTGTGATTTTCTTAATTTTTTTTTCCTTCTTCTTTTGTGTGATCATTTTTTTTGTGATCAAAGTTATTACCTCTGGACCAATTTTGTAAACACATCTCGTTTCCAGGTCAGGAAATTCCAGAAGAAGGGAGAGAAGTGGAGGAATATTCAGAAGAGGAGGAGGAGGAGGAAGACGACTCGGAGTCTGAGGAGACATCACAACAACAGCAGCAGCAACACAGTGAGGAAGCTCTTGCAGAGACTGGGTCTTCCACTGCAACCTCAGCGCAGCAGCAGCAACAGTCCTCCCAGTCTGTTGCTGCCAACCAGATACAGGCCCCTCCCATGCCTGGGCCACCTCCGCTAGGACCGCCTCCAGCCCCTCCACTGAGGCCCCCAGGACCACCCACTGGCCTTCCTCCTGGCCCTCCGCCAGGTGAATATTTGATCTGCTCTGAAGGCTGTAGGCTCTGGGTTGTACAGACATTGATTTGGTTTGGGAGGTTTGAAGCAGAGCATGTTGCACATGAAGTAGAGAAGCCCAGTGTGGTAATTGCTGAGGCCTGTGTGGTGTCTTCTATGGTCAGCGTATTGTTTTCTTCCCAATGTCTCTCCCACAGTTTGATTTCTGTTCTGTCCTAGAGGGGGAACCTTAAACGTCAAAACAGCTACTTAGTCAGTAATTTTGCTCTGTTCTACTCTTCAGGCCAGAAGCACAGTCAAATGCCTGACAGAAAACTTCTTTCATTTCTAGCTATTTAAATTCAGATAACCGTAACTCAGTAGCTGTTCCCAACTATTACTTCAATGCATGGAGAAGAGTCTTTCTCCAGGTTAGAGAAGATGGATGCACGAAATGGTGGAGTTCTCTATTCTTGGCAAGGCCAGGAAGGGGACCAGTAAAACCGCTGTATTGGACTTCCGGAGGGCTGACTTTGAGGTACCTGTACTGGTTGGTAGAGTCCCTTGGGAGGCGGTTCTGAAGGACAGAGGGGTCCAGGAAGGCTGGGCGCTCTTCAAGAGGGAAATCTTAATGGCGCAGTAGCAGTCTGTCCCCATGTGGCCAAAGATGGGCCAGCTGGGAAGAAGACCAGCCTGGCTGAACAGAGAATTGTGGCTTGAGCTTAGGAGAAAAAAGAGGGTTTATAATTTTTGGAAAAGTGGACAGGCCACTAGGGAGGACTATAAGGATGTTGCGAGGCTGTGCAGGGACAAAATTAGACAGGACAAAGCTCATCTGGAGCTCAATCTGGCTACTGCCGTTAAAGATAACAAAAAATATTTTTATAAATACATCAACACAAAAAGGAGGACTAAGGAGAATCTCCATCCTTTACTGGATGCGGGGGGAAACTTAGTTACAAGAGATGAGGAAAAGGTGGAGGTGCTTAATGCCTTCTTCACCTCAGTCTTTAGCGGCAATACCGGTTGTTCTCTGGATACCCAGTACCCTGAGCTGGGCTGCACCGATGGGCTGAGGTCAACTGCATGAAGTTCAACAAGGCCAAGTGCCGGGTCCTGCACCTGGGGCACAACAACCCCAAGCAGTGCTACAGTCTGGGAGATGAGTGGTTGGAGAGCTGCCAGGCAGAGAAGGACCTGGGAGTGATGGTGGACAGTCGGCTGAATATGAGCCAGCAGTGTGCTCAGGTGGCCAAGAAGGCCAACGGCATCCTGGCTTGTATCAGAAACAGCGTGACCAGCAGGGCTAGGGAGGTGATCGTCGCCCTGTACTCGGCTCTGGTGAGGCCGCACCTCGAGTACTGTGTTCAGTTCTGGGCCCCTCGCTACAAGAAGGACATGGAGGTGCTTGAGCGGGTCCAGAGAAGGGCGACGAAGCTGGTGAGGGGCCTGGAGAACAAGTCCTACGAGGAGCGGCTGAGGGAGCTGGGCTTGTTCAGCCTGGAGAAGAGGAGGCTCAGGGGCGACCTTATTGCTCTCTACAGGTACCTTAAAGGAGGCTGTAGCGAGGTGGGGGTTGGCCTGTTCTCCCACGTGCCTGGTGACAGGACGAGGGGGAATGGGCTTAAGTTGCCCCAGGGGAGTTTTAGGTTAGATGTTAGGAAGAACTTCTTTACTGAAAGGGTTGTTGACATTGGAACGGGCTGCCCAGGGAGGTGGTGGAGTCATCATCCCTGGAAGTCTTTAAAAGACGTTTAGATGTAGAGCTTAGGGATATGGTTTAGTGGGGACTGTTAGTGTTAGGTTAGAGGTTGGACTCGAAGATCTTGAGGTCTCTTCCAACCTAGAAATTCTGTGATTCTGTGAAAACAACAGACAGAGCAGAGGGGAAATGCATAAGGACGTATGGCGGGACTGTACAGTATCACCAGAGCGGTAAATTGCTCAGGTTTTGCAGGCTGCCCACTCCTCACAGGGGCTGGGTCTCTTCTCACCGTACTGGGCTCAGTGGGTAAAGTGTTACTGCAGCAGTTACTGCTGACTCAGAGCTGATGTGGAGTGTGATATTGCCCCATAGTTCTCACTTGCCTTATACTTCTGTCACTCAGAGAAGTAGCACCAGGAGTCTAGAGGAGAAGAGCCAGCAGCCTGGCCTCAGACTGGTTATGATACCCATGGAAGATCAAGTGTAAGACTGATCAGAGGACTAGGAAAAGCAGGCAAGTATATCCTGTTTGGAGGGACAGTGTTTCAGTAAGCTAGCAGAAGCAGAGAGGTGAACTCATTCTGCCCTGCTGGCCTCTCTCATTTAGCCAGTTGGATGCATGCTGCGCTGAGTTCAAGAACAAAGTAAAAAGAAAAACAGAACTGTCAGCAACACAAGCAAATCCCATGATTTTCTTATTGCTGGAGTTGGGGGAAAGAGTTTGGGAAGCTCTTAAGGAGATCAGTGTTTTGTTTTGTTTTGTTTTTCATCTCAAAACTGCCTCATGGGGCTGGAAGGTGCCATACACACCCTTCTGTGAGGTCATGGGTGCCTGCCCCACCTCGCTCAGGATTCCGGCCTACCTCATAAGCAGAAAAGGCTGCAGACCATCAGCCTCCAGCACCACCAACATCTTCCAACATCTCATGGACATAACACCTTAACACCTGCTTTTTCAGGGAAGATGTCTTTCTTTTAAGACCACCAGAAACAAAGATCTATCAAAAGGTAAATACAAATTGCGTGGATTTATGATCTTCATTCCATGTCCTTCTTTCCCAAAACTGCTTAGCATTTATTTTCAAAATGCCTGAAAACTGCAATAGATTGGTTTTTATTTGGCTCCACTATTCTCCTACGGCAGCGATTAGCAATCTCACAGGCACGTACTGAGCTTGTGCTTTTTCTTCCTAAATTAGAATGTACATTTGCACACAGAAAGTGAGCAGGAACCAGGAACTCCTGCCTCTCCAACACTCAAAGTATTGCTGCTTCTGCTGATCGCTCGCTTCTAAACAAATACCCCTAAACTGAGTGCCATGTGGGTCAGGAGCAAGGAGAAGTCACGTCTTATAGAAGCTAGCTGTTTCAGGTCACCATGTCACCACAAACATTGTGTCTAGGTCAGAAAATGCTTTTTGTCTCCTCTGAATTGCCTCTCCTGAGCCACATCGCCCAGTCTGCAGCTTGTGCTGGTCCCTGGTTTTCATTCCAGCCGTGGCCTCTCAGCCCCCTAAGCTCCCGAGCCCTGGGCTTTGTCCCTAGCGGCTGTGAGAGCTGCTCGAGAGCCAGCAGCTGCATTCCCATTGCCATCTAGTGGCTTCCTCGCAGATGAACACAACAGAAAAAGGGGCCAGAAGATAATGATTTAGAATGGGAATCGTAGGAGGCTGGCGGGGGGGGGGGGGGGGGGAGGGGGGAATAGTTAAGAAGACAATGGAATGGAGAGCTTCTTTGATGTAATCTCACACGTCTCTTTATTTTCACAGGCACGGTCTAGCTATTAAAATAAACGTATAATATTGAATACTAACAAGTACGTGTGAATTTGAACATGCTTCTAGTGTGGGGGGAGCTGGTACTAAAAATGGATCTATACATTCTACTGACTGTTATTTTACTAGATTAATCGATCACGGAGACAAACAAGAATTGATAAACTGCATGTATAATGAAGATTTTAATCTTTTTCACGATTTGGTTTGAGATTGATCTTTGGGACAACAACCACAAAAAAATAGTATACGAAAGAGAGCTCTTAAAATAGATATTTTTATTATTTTTTTCTTCAAAGATCAAAACAAAAACAGGCATTCTACGCAAATCAGAGCTTGACAGCAAATCATGTTCTTCTAGCTTTCTTTTTAAAATCTGCAAAATAAGGACATTTGATGGCACACTGCAAAAAGAAGAATCTGTGCATGTTCTTGGCAGTCCCGCATTGGTGGCTTGTAAAGGACTTGAAAACAAATTCAGCACATTAATAGGGCTGTAATCCTACAAACCCTTGTTTAAGTGCATGGTGCCATGTCAATAAACAGAGCAGCAGCTGTGCACAGAAACGTTCACCTGTGGGTGAGCAGGAGCAGGGCAATACCGAGCATGAGAGGTTACTCACAGTCAGACACGCCTGCTGCTCTACAGCTGCTTTCCCTCAACTGTGGGGCCAGGTTGTGTGTGTTTGGCTGTAGGCCCATGATTTTCTTGTCTGTTAATCTGCTGGCATTAGATTTTATTTAAAGATCTCTGGCTGGCTCCTGAGGCAGGAATGGGACAGGAAATGTGCTTCAGCTAGTCCTTGTCATCGCTTCTGTGAACAGGGAATTGAGCCTATCAGATTTAGAACAAATCCACATTAAGAGAGTTTAGCAACTGCACCTGTTCTGATGAACCATCTAGATGAGGATATGGAATGCTTTGTTGAAATAATTGTCTCCCATCATGATGTCGTTTTGACAAAGCAACTCAGTAAGAGAAAAATCACACCTTCTCACCGCTACTGTTCCAGCGGTGAATATTATTGTCACCGCTACTAATAACGTTTCAAGGTTATCTACAATGCATTCTGGAAAACAGCTGAAAAGGTGCCAAGTATTTAAACTGTTGCCTCCCAGGAGCACCTTTAAGCTAGTTCACTATTAACATATTTCTGTGCCAGTTCTCTGATCTGACACATCTTTTGCTCTGCTGCCACTAATAAGAAAAAAAAAATAAAATAAAAAAATCCAAAGATGACCTACTGTAATGAAACAAACAAACAACAACAACAACAAATCTGCAGAAGTAGCTGCTGCAGTCATTGTCACAGCAGGAAAGAGAACACTGACTTCTTTCACTGAACCTGCTGTCTGACTGAAGAAGTCACTTCATGTATGGCACGCTGGTATTTTTCTGAGGCTTCTTTAAACTCAGCCAGATGCTCCTCATAGCTTCTCACGGCAGCCAGAAGCTGATTCCTCTCCACAGCTCCCAGGATGGCATGGAGGATCATTTCAATGCCGAGCCCAAGAATGGTGATGCTGATTCCCCCAAGAACGGATGCCCCGATCTGGGCAAGGAGGCTGACGAGTTTGCTAACAGTGAGAGTTATAAGGTTGGAGCCAATTAGCTTGATAGCTACCATCCCAGCTGTAGAAGTTGCTTCTCCGAGAATGATGGAAAAAACTCTATGGGCTATTGCAATTTTCTCCAGTTCAGGCTCTTTGATGTCATACAGCTTCTGGTATAGCACAGGCTCTAGCTTCTCCTTCATGTCACTATCAATCTTCTGTACCTGACGCTGAATCTCACTCATCGCTTGAATGATAATGTCACAGTTTTCCTTGACAGTGCTGCTCTCTCTCATCTTGATGTGGCTAATAGTACATCCCAGGTGTGTATTCAGAACTCCAGCCAGCTCATTTGTTGCGTGGAAATTCATGGACATGCAGTCAAGCAATTCCTGGTGCAGATGGATCAATTCTTGTCGTCTCTTGGGGTTATCTGGATAAAGGAGGTCGCTCAGCGCCATTCCTCAGAAGTCAACTACTTCAAGAGATCAAAGAAAGTTCTCACTGTTTACACCCATAGTCCCAGCCCTTAAAAAGCAGTGAAATGTAAGCTGTTTTGTCCCTGCCCCACTGATTCTTTTTATACTCAGCAAATCAAATCCCAAAACAGCTTGTAAATCTAGAAATCTTAAACATTGATTCATATCATTAGCCAAATGATTGCAAAAGGACCTTATGAGACATGAGAGCAACAAAAACAGATAACAAACATGTAATTAGCATATTGTTACAATGAGCATGGGTCTTTCTTCACCTAGGAAACTGTGGATGGTAGAAGCAGAACTAGTTCGCTAAAAAACAGAACAAGCTCATCTAGTCAGCAAAGTCTAAAATAAGCTGTGGAAATGAGAGGCCTGTTACCGAGACACTTTTGTATCAGCCCATTTTTTTCAGTCAGTGGCATCTAATTTTTAAATGACTGTGATGATTGGTGGAGCGTGCACAGTCTGTACCAGTGTAAGGGTGTTTAAAGCCACTCCTTGCATTTAAGAGGAAATGTTACCATATAAGACATTTGTGTGCATGCTAATCAACTCACATTTGGGAATTCAAAGAGAACAGCAAAATTATCTATCCCAAACGCATCCTAACCTATTTCACCTTACACACAGCTCCAACTCTGTTTTCTTCCCTGATATTTAGTCCCTTTTCCCTCACTGATTCTTTTTTCAATATTCCTAATCACATCCCTTTCTAATGCTGTCATTGTATCCCCGTTGTTTTTTCACTGGTGAATGTCAAGCATTACCTGCCTGACAAGATACGGCATCCAAAGTGACTGAATTATCAGTGGTTGTGGAGTTACTTCTCATCTCTAAGCTTCTATAATCAACCCCGTGCCACTTTCTCTTAACCCATCACCAGCTGCAAAGTAAAAATGCTTTAGCATGATTTTGACTTAGATGTGTGCATCTTACATTGCAACAGGGGCAGATTACGGAGGAGTAGGATGACTGGTTTCTTGTTGGTACTTTCATTTTCTCAACCCTTTTATTGCAAATCTGGGCCAACTTCATGCGTTACTTTCTGTTTTTCCAAGATAAGTCCTTTCTTGCTCTTGGTGCCTACACACCACAGCTATAAGTACAAATAGTTGTGTGTAGGAGACTAGCTAGATTTTTCTTCTTAAAAGATTCATTTGTGTCATTTTGGTCCTCTGGAGTTCTTGCATTATCTGCTAACTGCAAATCAACTGGCACTGACCCAGCTGTATTTCACCAAACACACCCTCCCCAACAAGATCACTGTAGAAACAGAATGATTTCAGCAGTCCTCTAGACAGCTTTTAGTCTCAGCTTTGAAATACAAACCAGTCTGAAGGGATATTTTTTCCACAGTGTTTTGCACAGCAGTGTACTTTTCTTTCTGCCGCTTACCTTGCATCTCTGTTAAGAGAATAAACTCTTTAACTCATCTTTCTTCAAGCTGGAGCAAGCAAAGTTTGTATGCAGTAAAAGTTTGTGATTTTCAGGAGACATAAAACCCTGCCAGTATAATTTCATATCAGCTCTGCCTCTGGGATGTTGGTGGCTTGCTCTCTGACTCAGTGTTACATTAATCCTTTCCACTCCAGTGATGTTGTGTTGAAAGGCCATTTGTTTATGCTCATTTGCAGAAATTGAGAAGAAAAAATATTCCAAAAGGAACAGCACGTCAATGAACATTCTACATACTAGAAAGCTGTGGAAGAGACTTGGAACATCTATTCTGTCTGAATCATTCTTTCAGCTTCCTATGACTGCTGTTGATTTTATGTCCTTTAAAACTAAAACAGCCTCTTACTCTTCACATTAACACTTTCTCCAATTTTTACATTTGTTTTCTACAGTTAGGCAGACACCACATATATTTCTGTATTTCTGCTTATTTCTCGAGCTCCCCAGGGATTTTTCCCAGAGGATTTTCTAGTTAAACATTTAGACTGCCTACCTGTTTTTGCCTGAGTGCTCCTGCAATCGGATGAATGCGTACAGGACAGTGATCTCATCCTCTTTCCCCTGTGTTCCTCTGGTGGTTTCCAGCAGCATCTGATGAGTTAGGAATCCAGAGCTGGGCTTCAGCTGGGTCCTGTTGCCTGCCTGCTTGTCATCAATTTTATTCTGTGACGTTTACCCCAATTTTTCTCATTTTCTTCCTTGTTTCCCCTTCCTTCCAATTTTAACTCAGTTTATTTGATGCTACTTCAAAATTCTTATTTCCTCCTAAGACCACCTGTTCCTGAAAAGAACAAGTACAGCATGAATGTGTCTGCCTATGACAGAGGTACCTTCACAGGTACCTGCAGCCAGGGCTGAAAGGGGAAGGTATTACTTGCTGTTCTCAGGATATAAAACATGTTGGGAAGCACTTTTCATTCGTATGGGTACCAGATTTGGTTTCATATAGGGATTTATACATTTTTATTTCTGCTTTTGAAATAATGAATTGTTGTCATGACTGGTTTTGTACACCTGTGAATTGTGGAAGAAAAGTTGAACAGTCCCACATAAATACAAAAAAATAGCACTGACAGTGAAATCAGTACAGGCTTTATGTGTGCCAGCAAAACAAAATCTCGTAGTTCTGCATTCATCCAGGTTAGACTTCTTCCAAGCTCTGATCCTTCAAAAGATGGGCCTCCTGCCCACAGGCATCTGGTTGCCAGTGTTGTCTCCTCAGGAGAGAGTGGTTCTAAGATGAAAGTGCAAGATAAAGCATAAAATGAGTAATCTGCAATTGCCAGCTTCTTTTCCCATGAAAAAATGAGCTATTGTAGTCAACCCAGAAATAGAGGACCAAACCCCACTTGTCTTCAGAGCTGTAGACATGTGAAGATGAGCTATGAGAGATCAGTAGTCATTTAACTACAACTATTACATGTCTGCAATGATCAGTTAGTTGCTCACAGCTTTTTCCCATCTGTGACTCCTGTTATTAACTGAGAATGTCATGTAGTCCTTAAATACTTCTTCAAATACAGGACTGAAATGAATTCATCAGGCTGGCAACGGTCAGTGACACATCCTGTAGTTTGGAAGCCAGTTTTAGATTCTCAAGGTTAGCGATGGGTGCCAATTCTCTTCTGAGTCTCTATCTATCCTTTGGAACATGACTGAAAATCTTTTAAACAATAGTCAAGCAGTTTTGTTCCTGCTTTACTCCAGTTCTTTAAGGAAGATAAATAGCTGTTGCTGCAGATCTTTATGAAGTCTGGGGAAAGGACTTTGTCTGAAGTGTCTCTCACCCTTCTTTGGTGCAATTCCCCAGGTTCTTTCCTCTGGTGCTCTGAGAGTGGAAGAAGATGTGGAGTCCCAGAGACAGCTCTGGATGAACAACGGTGGATACTGAAAAAAAATTTTGCTATTTCATATGATTTCATACCACTTGCTTCATGGGAAGGGAAAGAAGGAAGAGGCAAAGAGTTGAGCTGCATACTGAGAGAAAAGCCTTAAAGAGTATGAAGTGGGATGGAGCTGGTAAAATTTGTCTGATGCAACCAGTCTGTCTTCCCAGGGCTCTAGCAGAGACAAAGACAATATCGGAAGCAGTCCCTCAGCAGCATGTTGTCCCAGGACTGTGCCGGCAGTTGGCCTTGGGAGTTGGCCTTGGCCTCTTAGGTGTAAGCAGAAGAGCAGAACTTGCTTGGTAGTCAGAACGGTAGCAAGAGAGGAGCCAAGACAAGGAGAATGTTTTTCACTTCCAACTCTCAAGGAATGCTCGCAATGTCTAGCCACTGTGTGAACTGATAGACATGGGTCACAGGAAGCACTAGCCTGAGAAAAAACACTGCATTGCTCAGCCTTCAATTGCTTTGCCTGTTGCATGTAGATGACTCACGCATTTGACTCTGCTGTGTCCATTCCCCCTCCCCAGAATACATTTAATTCTGTGCAGACACACCAGTACATACAAACCAAAGGGTTATATTTCTAAGGACGATGTAAAGTAGATTGTTTGATAGGACTTCCATACATTTACCAATAAACATCAAAAAGGAGAGAATAATTCATTTACACTACTTCTGTTGCTTTTCAGATGACATGCTGAAGGTCACATCTGTAATTCCTGCATCCACAAGAATAACTACACTAGCAGCTGTTTACACCATATTTTGCTGGCCTGCTTGGTAAGACCCCTTCAGAGGCTAACAAAGAGCTTTTTCTAACTCTGAACGCCTGGAGGGAGGGTCAGGTAGTTTGATAATTTGTAATACTAGTTTCAGAAACGTAACATTCTAGATGAAAATATTTTGACTCCCCCACCCATCCACCCTTTCCTGTCTCCTGGATTTCTTCTGTTTCCTTTTCAGAGCCAAACCCTCACTCCGGAAATGTTAGCCTGCCTCGGTCTTCAGAGTGATAAAGAAAGGATCGTTAAGGCCTGCGAGAATCTGTATGGCTTAGTATACATCTATGTCTCTTCAACCAATACAATATTCGAAATCCTCAATCATTATCTTGGCACTGAACTCCCCATCTTGGCAGTAAAAGAAAACTTTAGCATTAAAGAGAATCTGCAGCTCCTGATCAGTGCTTTGAAAGATATGAAAGCCACAATGGGATATGATGAAAATGGAAGCGTAAGCCCATCATTTTATTCTAGAATTGCTGAACCGTTCAACACTTTGCAGGAGAACGTGGCTACAGTAAAAGGTCTTTATAATAATTATAAGGGGGTTGTAGGAAGCATGGTGTGTGCATTTGTTGGAGTGATGTTACAAAGAGATAATTTCCCTGAAACAGTAGAGGCTGCTGTTCATCAGTTACTGAGTTCACCTGCTTTATCCCTCCATGTATCAGAACTTCTCTTGGACTATGCTGATATTGCTAAAATGCTGCAACAAAATGAGCCACCAACCACCACAGCAAGCGGATCCGCCTCAGGTGAAACATCACAACAGCTCAGATTTCGTTCTCTACCCTCCTCCTCTTTAATTTTCATACGGACCCTCCTTCGAGGACAGAGAACCATAAAGAAAAGCCTGAAAACAGCAGCTGAATACTTAGAGGAGGCTTGCAGAGTGCTGAGGCCACCTTGTGAAGCATTCCATACCTTTGTTAAAATCCTGGATTCCTGCATCCCAGCAATAGCAGAAAACTTGCAAGCTCCATAAATGTACTGATGTGTTAGAAGTTCATCTTGATTCCTTTAACCCTCGATGGCAAGTTTGAGGAAAGTTTGAGCATGTCCGTACAGCACATATCTGCAGTAGCTGCTTCTGGTTCTCTCTGTAGTTCTTTTTGAAATCTGTACTCCGTATCTCCGAGCATCTAGGCATCAAAATAAAGGTCTGTTGGTAAATTATTTGAAGTCACTGGTAAAGCAAAAACAACAAAAATGTGGTGTGAAATAGAGATACAAAATAAGCTTATAGTAAAATAGTTCTGTATTAAATCTGTTCTAACTGTGCGGACAAATACGCCTCAGGATTTCAGGAGCAGTAGTTCAGCTGGACAGAACATGCTACTACATATTAGACGATGATGGTCTCTGCCATTGCATAGGCCTAAATCTGGTACCTGCAATGCTGATACTCAAGCTACTCCTTTTAGTCTACCCAAAACAACCAACCAACCAAACAAAAAAAAGACCCCCACATTCCTTAGGTATCTACATTTCTAATGCTCAGGTGCCTGAAGTTCTGCACTCCTTGCCACAGGATTTCCAAGGGAATGGCACCTCCAAGCTTTCATGGAGCTGCTCAGAGAGTAGAGCAGTTCACCCAGGTGCTTTTGAATATCCTTACCTTTAACTAATAAGCTGGTCAGCGACTTGTGCAGTCCTCTTATATTCAGATCTCATTTGGATCGCTAACTTGTTGCTTACCACTTTGGAGAGGTGATGGTGAACACAGCTTCCTGCCAAGTTCACGGGTGACTGAGAGGTGTTACCACTCAGGGGTCATTTATGAAACATATCAGTGAGTTTCAGTTCAATTATCTGGTGACTCCACTGCAAAGTCAAATCACCACAGCTGGTCTCCTGACTGTAGCCTCAGCCCAGGCCCAAGGGGTGAGGAACCAGGGGTGAAGAAGTAGGATAGGCATATTGGAAGGGGGATTTTGAAGGCAGAAAACCTTCTTTATCTTTTCCCCATTGTTATGTTTTGGGGATGGAAGAACTTCATAGCTGTTCCAGTTTGGGCATCTAAGGCCCCAAAACTGGTAAGTAAACATGTAGAAGTTAAACCCCCAACATCAGTCATTGCAGAGCATTGAAGCAAAAAGACAGGTAAATACATTTCAGTCACATCCAACATGTGACTGAGTTCATGGGTAAAAGAACAATCCCATCAGGTACAACTAACGATCCTCAACACAATCTTGAAAGGTGTTCTAATACCAACCAGCTGTCAGATTAAATAGACATGTAAGTCTCCAAAAAAGGCAAGAGGTGTAGAGTGAAAGTTTCTTGGTTATAGTCAAATATAAGAATCACAGAATCACAGAATCACAAAATTTCTAGATTGGAAAAGACCTCAAGATCATCGAGTCCAACCTCTGACCTAACACTAACAGTCGCCATTAAACCATATCCCTAAGCTCTACATCTAAACGTCTTTTAAAGACTTCCAGGGATGGTGACTCCACCACCTCCCTGGGCAGCCTGTTCCAGTGTCTAACAACCCTTTCAGTGAAGAAGTTCTTCCTAACATCTAACCTAAAACTCCCCTGGGGCAACTTAAGCCCATTCCCCCTCGTCCTGTCACCAGTCACGTGGGAGAACAGGCCAACCCCCACCTCGCTACAGCCTCCTTTAAGGTATCTGTAGAGAGCGATAAGGTCACCCCTGAGCCTCCTCTTCTCTAGGCTGAACAAGCCCAGCTCCTTCAGCCGCTCCTCATAGGACTTGCTCTCCAGGCCCCTCACCAGCTTCGTCGCCCTTCTTTGGACCCGCTCAAGCACCTCGATGTCCTTCTTGTAGCGAGGGGCCCAAAACTGAACACAGTACTCGAGGTGCGGCCTCACCAGAGCCGAGTACAGGGGGACGATCACCTCCCTAGCCCTGCTGGTCACGCTGTTTCTGATACAAGCCAGGATGCCGTTGGCCTTCTTGGCCACCTGAGCACACTGCTGGCTCATATTCAGCCGACTGTCCACCATCACTCCCAGGTCCTTCTCTGCCTGGCAGCTCTCCAACCACTCATCTCCCAGCCTGTAGCTCTGCTTGGGGTTATTGCGCCCCAGGTGCAGGACCCGGCACTTGGCCTTGTTGAACTTCATGCAGTTGACCTCAGCCCATCGGTGCAGCCTATCCAGATCCTCCTGCAGAGCCTTCCTACCCTCGAGCAGATCGACACACGCACCTAGCTTGGTGTCATCTGCAAAGTTACTGAGGGTGCACTCAATGCCCTCGTCCAGATCATTGATGAAGACATTAAAGAGGACCGGCCCCAGCACCGAGCCCTGGGGAACGCCACTAGTGACTGGCCTCCAACTGGACTTGACTCCATTTACCACGACTCTTTGGGCCCGGCTATCCAGCCAGTTTCTAACCCAACGAAGCATTTTGAACAAAGATTAAGAATTAAAACTGTATTATGTGCACGTTCTAGATAAGAACAACTCCAACGAGGAAAAGAAAGTGGAAAACAGGCAAAATGAGTCTAAGTTGGTCTGAAACCTATGTAGGAAGATTGTTAGAAACAAAATCTGTACTGCAACAAATTACTCTCAGTAGCAGGACCAACATAAGAGAGCAGCTCCCCCCCCTCCCCCCCCCCCCCAAAACGGCCGCCCCTAACGGCCGCCAGCCCCGCCCCTGCTCCGCCCCGCCCAGCCCAACCATAGAGTCGCGGGACCATAGAGTCGCGGCGGGCGCGCCGCCGTCCCCATTAGCGGAGCGCGTTGCGGCAGCCGTGCTTTACGGCGGCGCCCCGCTCCGTCCCGGTGCAAGATGGCAGCGGGGCCGCGGCGGCGGCGGGCAGCGCTGCGGGTGTAGGGGCCGCACCGAGGGGTAGCCGGGCCCGGCCCGGGGTGAGAGGAGCGGGATGGGGATGGGGACGGGGACGGGGATGGGGACGGGCTGGGAGGGAGCGGGAGCGGGAGGGAGCGGGCTTCTTGCGCTGCTTTCTGCCGGGGGAGGAGGAGAGGCCTTCGTGCGCCTCATGGGAGGCTTCTGCCTCGCTCCCTAGCGGCCGAGAAGCGGTAGATGGGGCTCCCGGGTTGATTCCTGTCCCCTCCCGTCCTTTTTGTTTCGAAGCTCTTCGCTTTCTGCCCGAAAAGGATTTGGGGTGGAGATTTGAGGAGCTTTCTCGTTCCTCTTGAAATGTGAGGTGGCTGGGGAGTGTGGGGTGCAAATGGAAATCCTGGCTCTGGTTCCTATCGAAGGAAATTGTAGCATCTGTAAAATCGCGAAATTATTATGAAATACACGTAGTCTGAGGAGGAGGAGGTACGCTACTGGTGTTCCCAAACCACGGGGTGCTTTAGTTGCCAGCAGGCCAGCTATGAGAATAATTTGGTGATGTGAGGCATGAGCAGGGCTCTGTAGTTTTTTAGTGGACAAACGTTGAATGTGGTCGGTTCCAGGAGCTTGCTAGGAAGCCTTTCCATGAGGCGTTAATGCGCTGAATGACGCTTCGGCTTATTTATTTATTTTTAAGAGGGTAGATACTTCAGCAATTTGTAGGTGGCATCTCCTGCATTTAGGAAAGAAAGATGTGTTCAGTGACTTGGGTGAGGCTGTAGGGAACTGTAGATTGTGTTACAAACTCTTTGTTTGGATGCTGCTGGTTTGCACGCAGGATGGCGACAAAACCTGCATCCCATCAGCTCCTGAATCTTAGAGGTTGTTTCAGATTTTGGCGTGGAATCTCAGTGTGTTTGGTTGCTTTTTCCCTAAAGTGGTGGGTTGCAAGGGGTACTAAAGGGGGGGATGAGTTAAAGCTGTGAGAAAGGCAATGTGCCTGGCTGTAGTTTAACCGCTACTGCAGTTGTCTGTTAAAGAACTTCTAAAGGTCTTCTAAAATGTCTAAAGACAGGAAATAACTCTCCTCAGAATAAACTTCTTTTTTTGGTCATTATAATGCAGCTTGAAACAGTGCTGATGGAGGTAGCATAGGGGCAGGGGTGTGGCGGTGGTTTGTGAGGAGTAGAAAAAGGCAGGAACGTGTGCAGAGCACTCTGATGGATACGGTGGTTGCTGGGGAGAGATCAAGAGCAGCTTAGAAGCCTGAGGGAAGAAGGGAATTTGTGGGAAACATGCTTGAAATGGAGAGCTCTTATGAGAGCAAATGAAAGCTAGAATAACTCTGATATGCAGAATGTGTTCCCCTGCCCCCTTCCATACCATAAGCAAGAAGGTTCTAAACTCAAGTCTGGAGTGAATGCCAAGCTGACTAGTTTAAAGTAGGTACTTGGTTAAGTGGCTGTAAGTACATAGTTAAGTGGTGGCACTTAGTTAAAATAGGATGGTTTTGATGGGAATGTCTGAACTTCTGTAGGATTTGAAGATCTCACAGTACCTGAGGGTTTTCTCTTTTTTCATCAACCTACTACTGATACAGGGAGGAGGAGTAAGTGTACTCATACTGCTTGTGCGCAGGACCTGAAACTGAGGTTATCGTTTCCAGATCTTTTTCATTTTGAGGCAGAAGAAAAACAGTCAAAATGGGGCGGAGATCCACGTCATCCACCAAGAGTGGGAAGTTCATGAATCCCACAGATCAGGCCCGTAAGTATGCATAAAATCTAAGCAGAGGGGAATGGGGGTGATAAGGAGTAAATCTGTGTCTCTGGAAACAGATAAAAAGCTCAGTTTTGTCTGCTGTAAGAACTTCCCGAGAAGGCTGCTTGCTTGTGTGCTGTGGCTGCTCTGCAGTATTTCTTTTACTTTTGACTGTAGTTAGCAGTGCTCTGAGGTCTCTACTTCATTGTTGGCTAAGCTGCTTCTTGGGGTGAAGTTTGTCTGAGGCTAGAACTTGAGGAACGTGTCAAATTTAGCAAAAGCTGTGGTTACATGAGGGAGTTGTCCAACCCTGTCTTACCTTTTTGTGACATCCCAAATGGCATCAGTGCTAAACATACAGAAAACCCAGACTTCCACTGTGAGTGCTTCATTTCAGATGGGTATTCCAAACCTACTTATTTTTAAAGTGCATCATTGCTCCTTGGCACTACATTTCAGTGGCAACCCTGTCATGATTGCATGAATTGCTATGGCTTGTGTTGTCTTTTTATTCTTTTCTGTATAAAACGCCCCAGCTTCTGGATGTGTGGAGAAATGCTGTATTTCTTTCTACTTCTGTATAACACACATAACATAGGCATCTATTTCTAGACTTGAAATCCATTTCATATATG